CATTTGGTAAATTATCATATACCAAACTATATTTTATTGTATCTTCAAAATATCATTGAATCAAGATGATTAGTTTTTTTTTTTAGAAAATAAAAAATAATAAATAATAAAAAGTAAAAATACAAGGATCGCAAAAATATCCGTTGTGGATCTAAAATCAAATCCTCATAAAAGGTCGTCCTGGTCAGAGTGACCTGGCATGGAGTCCAAAATGTCAAATCTAGTCAGGGGCAGGAGGTGGCGGTCGACCGAATCTGAAGGATGGGTACTCTAACTGGTCCATCCGAATGAGCGTCCGAAGCCGGAGGAGAATGTCCTCAGGAAGAAGGGTGCGTCTCTGGGGTATAGATGCCCCCGTGCTGGCAAGGAAATCGGCAGGCCGGTTTTCCTCCCGGAATATGTGTGAGACCTGGTAATGGATCGAGCGGAGGGTGTCTCTGATACGCATAAGAGGATGTTGGATCTGCCATGAGCTCTGGTGGCCAGATCTCAAGATGATTAGTTTTGAATACTTTGATTCACCAATAACTCAACCGTTTTAAGTTTTTCAAAATTGAAAACCCAATATCAAAATTTCAAAAGAATTTAACCATTTATCTTTTGATAACATATCATTATTGTAAATAACAAATATGTGTTTTTTGCTTTGTTGGATATCCAATCATATGTAGACCGAAATATGCATGAGAACATTCTAAAAAATAAGTACAATATAATTATCAAAATCAATTGCAAAAATCTTGTTAACATAACTATCACAGTACTATAATAGTCCTTATATCTCAACTTTAATAACAAATCACTACGAATTTTTATTCATTTCATAACGAGCCATATATTGAAAGTTATTTATTCAAAGAGTTCAAAAATATCATTTCGTGTTATCAATAACTGCACCAAACTAATTACATAAAAAATCATATTGTGATTTACAATATCATAACAAACTCATTTAATTAATAAATTAGAAAGAAAAATTTAAATATTTACAATATAATAAATTATATGAAAAAATTAAAGTCATATTTATGTAATTAAAAATTAATATTTTTCAAAATAATATATATTATAATATTTTCAATTAAGTGTTGGCTGTAATATTTGCACATCTATTTATATTTATTGAAAAAGGTTGATGGAAGAATTTAAAATAGTGTAAGTAAATAAGTCAACTTACTATTAAAGGAAATAGTAAAAATTAATATAATATTTGTAAACAATGTAAATTAAATTATACATACCTATTGTAAATCGTGCAATCTGGTTAATAGCGCGATTTTTTATATAAATAAAGTGACTAATTTTGAAAATTATTTAGTGATAATTGTCGCAATAAAAAAATAGATTCTTCATATTAATTACAAATTACTGCATTATTTTATTATTTTTGTAACAAACCATACAACATTTCTTAAAACAAACGTTTATCAAATATATTTTGTGTTTATATATTGTTTGAATATGAACGATAAATCCGAGGTGCCATTAAGAATATTTTGTGCGTGTGGACATGCAATTTTCTCTTCATTTTCTCCTTTGTATATAGTATTTCGTGTTTATGAGATAAATTAATCAAAAGACCAAACTTGATAAGTCCAAAATAATACCCATTAAACAAACCATTAATTAATTGAAAACACTCAGACCGACATTTTCTTCCTTCTTCGTTTTCCCTTATTGTTTGTAAATTTGATCTTTTAATACCCATGTACAATATGGGTGTTGAATTAATGAATATATGTATAAAATTATTTATGTCTAATATCAAATCTAACTTCAGAGAAAAAATAATATAAAAACATTACGAAGCATAGATTTTCGTCATGCTAGCATCCGAAGTGTGAGAATCTACCACCTAATCTCAACACGTTTTGAATTAATATATACGGGGATATAGTTGACAAACAAAATTAAGCCTGGGCACCCATATAATGTATACATATCATTATTTAATTTCCTATTTTATATATTTTTATAAATACAAAATCTATATATGCATAATTACTAGCTAATACATTTAATAAAACATATTTTCATTTCCCTCCAAAAGGAGTTACATTTTTTTAATTAATTACTCACTAATCTGTTAAAACTGTTACACCTTCAAATATATATTTTCATTATTTAATTTTTTGATCAGTTACTAAATTAATTCTAAATTTAGTAGCAAAATATTCAAATGTAACGACTAAGTTGGAACTTAATGTTGATTGCCACATTCAGAGTTGTAACCGCTATATTTGGTTGCATTGTTGGAAGAAAAATATGATTGTCACAAATATTTTTTTTTTCCTGAAAATCAGAAATACCAATAATTTTTTATTTATGTTAATTTTCCTAATATATGCCACAAATATGTAAATTATTTTATTCATGTTACTAATGTAAACGTTGCATGATTAAATAAAATTTAAATTTCAATTAACTTTGAATGATAAAAATAACATAAAAAAATTAATAATTTTTATATGATAGAAATACATGTCTAATTAATAAATACATACAAAAACGTATCTTATATCTGTGTAAATACACATTATCAAATACTAATACATATTATTATAATTATTATAAGTATTGGTCTTTATATCTGCCCACCTTTTTAGACTCAACAAGATGCACGATATCAATTTTAGGATTAACTCTACAATGAATCAAATATTAATGTGTTACGTTCAATATTACAATCTGACTTGTACTAATGTCCCTATCCCCCAGACAATTATTTTGTTAAATTATTAAAGCAAAATTAAAATTGGATGCCTCAAAGGCCAAATTGATAGTTGTACCTGGTCAATTATTAGATAATCCAATTCGATGGCGGCGCGACACACAGTGACGGAGCTGTATGGGGTCCAGGGGCCTGTGGGCCCCCCTGGTTTTCTTAAAACAAATATGTATAAACATAGGGGAGGATCCAATAAGTCCACTCCTTAAAATGAGTATACTCTTTAATATATATATTAATTAAATAATAAAATAATTATTAGTTGACTCCGGCGTTGACCGTTGACTTCCGGCGAAAATCGTTGACTTTCGGCGTTGACCGTTGACTTCCGGCATTGATCGTTGACTTTCGGCGTTGACATGTTGCCCTTGGTTTGCAATATGTATGAAGTAAATATGTATCCAATACAATGCATCCAATAAGAACTGAATATGCATGAATTGCACATGCAGTCTTTATGAACTAAATATGCACCAATAATATCTACTAAGTATGCACCTGATATTAACTAAATATGCATGTGTTATGAACTAAATATGTATCATGAATGAACTAAATATGCAGCGAAACATATGCAATAAAAATGTACATTTTATATAGGTAATTTATGATGCATATTAAGTTAATTTATTATGAATATTTAGGTAATTTATGATGCATATTTAGTTAATACGAAATGCATACTTGTTATATTTAAATTAAATATATAATATTGTTTATATAGTTAATTTATGATACATATTTAGTTAATTCATGATACATATTTAGTTCTTACGAAATGCATATTTAGTTAATGAACAGTGCATACCTATTTTATTTGAGATCCAATCATATCAATTTATTTGTGTTCTTAATCAATTTAAAATTAAAATTAATTATATAATAAAAATCATTAATTATTATATTTAATTTAATTGTATAAAATGTATATTTTATTTTATATTTTCGTTGCATATTTAGTTCATTCATGATGCATATTTAGGTAGTAAAATGTGCATATTTTGTACATAAACAGTGCATACATAGTTGATATTATTGGTGCATATTTAGTTCATAAGG